AGCCTAACATTGCCAGTGTAGTTGTAAAAACAGGTAACATAGGAACTATTCAGCTCTCGGACAGTATTGTCTTTAGGGGCATGATGAAAGCTAATATCATAATTAGCTTTCTTACGAGCATTTCAATCCACTAAAGCAGACGCATGTTCTGCGATCGTCCTCTGTATTTCTCATAGCCCGGCCTGCATGTTGGGGCTCTGGGGTCTTGCTTGAATTGGTTACTTATGACATCTTACTGTATCTGATTCTGCCGTTTGGGTCTGCGAGAGATTCACAGCGAGAAATACTCAGAAATGCAATTTTATGCTTCTTTTTCTCATGATATGTCAAATGCCATGTAGACAACAAGAAAAACATGATTTTCACCGGAGTGGGTCTTTAAATAAACATTACATCTGCTTTGTTTGCTGCGCCGTACTTTCTCTTTTTCTCGTGACACGTCATTCTCAGAACAAAACATGTTTTTCCAGATTAAAAAAGAGCTAATTGACAGCAAATTAATGAGTCTTGCGGCAGCATAATTGACATTTTTATTACAGCACGGGGGAACTTTCACTCCATGGCAACAATTTCACACCAGCTCAACAATCAGAGAGACGGAAACACAACATGCAGGTGAGGAACACCTCGGCACATAGGAATAATCACACACAACAGGATTTTTGTTGGGTTTAATGGATTTGAAACTTCCATATGTACTCGGACGAAGAAGCCGCAGGTGCACACATGAGATCATTATGTTGTTATCATTTCAGATTCACTGTAAATTCACCACTTTCTAACGCTCATTGTTTGTGTGTGGGTCTTGCTCGTACGTAAAGGAATTGCTTTTAGTTTTGGTTTGGTTTGGGAAGCTGCATTTTCCTTAAAAACTTGTTCTGTACTTGTATAGAGGAAGGCAAATATTCTCTTTTCTTTTAACCAACTAACCAGCTTATAAAGAGCTACCAAACACAATGTTTAATCAATCTTTGCTCTACCATAACCTTCGTAATTCACTCTCTCTGCCAGTCGTCACTCTCATTTCCTCTATAGCAGCACAGAGGAACCATACCGTGAGCCTGCAGGCCTCCAGAAACACTCGGGGTTCAACGGCTATGTGGTAATGCGGACTGAAAGTTCACAGTGCACCGTTTAAAGCGCACCATGTTCAGCCTGTGCTTCCACGAGCAGATCCATCTGTTAGCCAGATTCACTGTAGCGTGCTGCGCGCCCTGACAAACACTTATAGAAATGCACTTTCAGGCTAATCATCTCAATGGAAGACAACCTGAGAAGAGCTGCTTTTCGCCACATCCTGCAGCGAAGTGGAGGGGGGGTTTAATGACATGTGATGGGGAATGTATTTAACTAGTGAGACACGTCACTCTCGATACACTCATGATGGAAAGATAGACGAGGAGTGAAACCAGAATCTGAAAACTAATTAACACTTAAATGCATGACAAGGCTGTCATGTCTGTGATGTTGAGGAGTTTAAGAATTCAGATACAGAGATTTTCCCAATTTGTCTTGTCTGCAAAGAGCACACATGAAATGCCGATTGACTTTTTCTAAAGATTTACAATCAAAGCAATTAAGGAAGTTGTCTTTCTCTATAAATTTACACTCGTTCAATTGTTTCTGCACCGAGGGAGAAAAGAGAGAGAACAAGTCTGGTCACAAACATGAAAACCAAGTGAGACAAAGCAATTTTTTTTGGATCTGAAACATCCACAGTGGCAAAGCCGCAAAAGGGCCACCGCTGATTGAACTAATTTTAGGTGATGCCATGCGCACAGGACAACCTGCTGGGCCCAAAATGGGCCTTCGCCATGCCACGACAAACAAGTAGTGGGCGAAAAAAGAGAAAGGGAAAATTGATAAATGCAGCAACCCACGCCAGGTTTCTTTTCCAAGTGAACAATACCATCATTGTTCAGCAGGGGCTCTGGCACGGCGCGCATGGTGGCGGCTGATTGTTTTGTAAAATCAACAACTTAGAAAATAGATTTATGAGATTTCTGGCTCTTGGTTCCCTAATGTGGGTAGACTACATACATCTCTTAAAAACAATGTCACCTCAGCATGCAGGCTGATCGCAGGAAGCAAAACAAGAAAAATAAAGGTGACAATTATTTGCATATTTGGTCTATATTTTCCTTTCACGTATATTTATCCGAACTCTTTAGTCTTCGTCATCTTGAGGCCTTTACAGGGTTTTTTCTCATCCAGATCCCTATGAGCTGTTTGGGCAGATGCTAAATGCATGCAGCGTCTCCTGGATCCACCCCTCGCTCCACATTCAGCACTCTGGCCTTTGTCTGCTTTAATTGAGCCCCCTCACTCCGTTTAATGGCCTGTTTAATACTTATTGAAACAGAGCTAGCGCTGGAGGTTAAATACATCTTAATGCACCGCGTTAATCCTTTCATTAAAAGCAATGTAAGCCCGGTTGAAAGCTGCAAGATTGCCTCCATTAATTAGGGGGGTCTCTCTCTGCCCCAGTGCTCTGCCAAGCCCGTGTGTCAGCGGTGATTTAAACGGTGGGAGAGGGCTGCAGAGAAATAGAGGCCGCGGGCCGTACAAACTGCTAATACAACTGGCAGGGGCGGATAAAAGAGGAGCCAGAGTTTTATTTAGCGAGGCATCAAAAGAAGCCGTGGTTGTAGAAGCTTCGGTGCACTCTGCTCCTTGGTGAAATTTCACAGTTGTTGGTAGAAAACGGGGTGAGGACAAGGTGTTTTTGAGTATGAAAAAAAAAAGGACAAGCACAGGGAAGGTGCTGAAAATAATTTCATAAAGGCACATTTTCAAATCACACTTGTCCCGTTCCAGTTTATATCAGTATTTCATTTCATCTAAGTGACTTAAATGGGATTTAAATTGAAATCATGAAAATAGCAGATCTATTTCTACACATATTTTCCCTCGCTTTCCTGCGTTTCTCCCACACTCAACTTCACATAGTTTACACTTGTGTCCCATTTTCTACCTTGAGACTCATTAATGCTAACGCCGGTCACAACAATTCACCAGCTTGGAGAATTTGTTTGTTTTTCACGGGGTGGAGAGTTGGCACTTCCAGCATTTTGATCCCCACGCCGCTGTTCCTGACTCCTGTACAGAATGACCCTCTCTCTCCATAGCAAGGCGGACCGGCCCAGCGTAGGCTTGTCTGGGCTCGGCGCCACGCTCGGCGGGTGAGGGCGTGTGGTCACAACACTCCTAAGGCCCCCTTCTTCCTCCCCACTCTATTGCTTTCACCCGAATCCTTCTCCAGTCCTTTAACCTCCCATCCTCTTTCCTTCCGCTGCATTTTGGACCAGCTGAGAAATCTGCTCTTCTTCTTGTTTGGGTTTTTTTCAAAGTTTGTGGGGTCAAACAAGGCGACAAAAAGTGAAAACTAGCTTCAGCAGACATAATTCTTTGCATAGAGATGTTGCAGATTGTGTCAGAGGTGTATAATTAGTCTGCTCGGAAACGGTTTTGTAAGGTGCAAATGACCGACCCCGCTGGTATGATGTCAAAAAAGCAGGACGAGTCTGAGGCCTCTGAGGACAACTCAGCTCTGGAGTCACATAAGCAGATTGCAGTCATCTTGAACGCTGCTCTACCACCACCCTCTGACAACCAGCCTCCCCCCCCCCTCCCCTCTACCCACGTCTCCCCCACCCCCACCCCCCGCCCTGCTGCTGCTGCACTCCGCTTTAATTTCCCGACACTTTGAAAGCTTTTCTCGCTGTATATTTTATCACTTTTTCTTAAGACTTGCGCTCAGCTACGCCTCAGCTCCTTTTAAAATACAGAGCCAAAAAAACAAGACAACTCGCTTCTTGGATTCTCTCTCTCTCTCTCTCTCTCTCTCTCTCTCTGTGCGTCTCTCTCATCCCATTGTGAACAGGCTTATTGGATGGAGTGCACTTAACAGAAGAATTTCACACTGTATTAGAAGAATGCATCTTTTCACACCTGTAAATATCTTGTCTAATCTGCTTGGTAACCAGCCCCTCTGAGGGAGGGCCACATGCTGTACAGCAGAGGGGCGATGGCGGAATTTGCTTCCGATGCCAGCATGAGAAACAGAATAAAAAATAATGTTAAACAGGAATCTTATAAATAAAGAAATCGGATGAGAATATATATAAAAACTGTGCTGCTGTTCTTTTGTGTGCGGGCATCTCCATTCATCATTTGCTAAAAAAGAAAAAGTCGAATAAATAGCAGCAAACACCGTCTATTAATTCCAAACATGCGGTTGCTTAATGTTATGTGATTGAAGTGTGACAAAAAGTTGTGAGGTTTATTTATTTATTTTTTTGTGTTGCTGTTGTGATGGAGCTGGTAGATCTGTGGGCGTGTAATCGCACCGAGGTAGAGGCACACTCGGAGAGAGAGGCACACATTACATCTCGACGTGCCAACAAGTTCAGGAGTGAAATCCTGCGGATGCGAGCACATGTAAAGTCATCATAACATTGGAACAAGGTTATCTGAGAAATGGCAGTTTATGTGGCAGTTTATGTTTTACCTTCATGAATAGAAAATATGCTGACTGATTGGGAGGATTTTTTTTTTTTGCACACGCGCTAATACACACAAACACGTTCTCGTGAGCGCAACGCACGCACTTTCGTGAGAACACATGCACGCCAAAAGAAAACACACTCCAAATCACCTTAGAAATTGACACAAATATCACAATGTCACACTCGTTTTTTCACAATGTTAGCAACACCAGATTCACTTTTTTCTTTTTTTTTTTTTTTTTTTGTCGTGGACGTTTGCTGGGATTCTTGTTTGTCAGACACACAAGTACAGACAAATCGCCATCGATCATTCGCCGATCATTCCAACAATTGACACGAGTCCTGTTGATGATCAGGTGAAATTTCAAGAGGACAAGTGTGAGCATGCCCCGTGTAGATAATCCTCCTCTCCGTCCATGTTACCCCCTCCTATGGCTCTTAGATATTTCTAATTGCCTACACCCACACAACCCTCCCCTTTGCAACCTTTCTATGTGCCCCCGGCCAGAGCGGGGGCAGAATGGCGGTCGGTGGACCTTGGAGAGTGGTCTCGGCTGGGGCCCCCTCACTAACACTCAGCCCAATGTGTTAATAGATCCAATGCCATCTTATTTTCGCACTTCTGTGAGACGGCGAGGGGCGGCCAGGCGGGATCGGCAGTCTGCTGTACTGAAAGAGCTGGAACGAGGGGAGGAGGAGGGGGAGGAGGAGGAGTGGATGGATGGATGGATGGAGGGAGAGGGGGCAGCGGTGGGTTCACAGCACTCTACGGAGGAGGTCAACAAGAAGGCAGGGGGCACAAGTTCAAGTGTGCGACACAGAATGATGGGATCAGGAAGGCAGAGTACGAATGCGAAGTATCAGGTGTGAATAGATGGATGGAGGGATGGGTGGATAAATTTGGCAGGTAGGAGAAAGATCACAGTTTGTATTCAAGAAGGTTCGAATTCATTTTTTAATCACTTGATAGTCCGTATAGTTAAATTGTGATAAATTGCACATTGCAGAGTTTTTAAAACCATTATCAGTTTCTGTTATGTCGCAGGTCTTACAGTAAAGTCACAAAGCCTTTAAGCACAGAGAAAATTATGACAGCTACAACTATAACACTTCAAAAACCACATGGGCAGGAAGTCGAACTGGCAAAGCGTTCGACTTTTAACACTAATCTTGATGATTAGAGTCTGATCAAAACCATTACTGGTGCAGAGATGCTCGACGCACAGAAGCCGCAGACCTTATTTTCTCAACCTTTTGTGGCAGATCTCTTGACATCTTTGTGAAATCAAACTCTTTCTTTTAAATATAAAGATAGACTTTACAAAAGCCAACTTTACAGAGTGAGATTTTAATTTTTACCTTTACTTCCAACAGTCTGGGACACCAATCAAGTAATTTTGCATAATCTGCAGCTCAAAAGACTTTTTATTTATCTTAAACTGGCATCTGTAAAAAACCTTAATTTCAGCACTTGAATGAAACATTTAGTTTTGGCTGCTTTTCCAGTGTTATCAAGTTATAAAAATGGTTCCTGGATGTTCCTTTTTATCCAGCTTTGTAGTCATGAAACAACCTTTAAATTTTGCCTGTAAAGAAATCATCTGAGGCTGTAGCCATTCGCGCTGACACTGGCACTTAGCTTTTGTTGAATTAGCCTTTGCTTCTTATACAGCTCATGGTTTTGAGGCCTCATTGAAGGTCTTATATCCAGCTCAAACTGGCCTTTGTTTACAACACAGTCAACAAAGTGCAGCACAACATTGTCTTCATAGGACAGCAGAGCCTGACGTCAGATTGAAGCCAAATCTCTTAAGGTCCAACGTTGTTTATTTCACGTTTTGACACTTTGCTGAGGTCAAGTCTGGGCGTTCATCACTGTAACAGTATCTTTTGGGGTATTTTTTTGCTGGTATAAAAAATTAAAGAGAGAAGGGAAAAATTCAGAGGAGTGATTGGTGGATTACATACAGTAAAGAGCTGAAAGTTATGACTTTATTATGTTGTTATGCTGTTTTCCAAACTCCTAGAAGTTCAAAGTGTTGCAGGTCTGATACGACTGTAAAACGTCATCATGTTGGTAGTTGAGAACCACCCGATGCCCCTGTCATAACCAGACTGGTACATGATCATGAAAGCAACACAATCATTAACGTCCATATGAGTCATTTTGGAAAATCTGTGCAACCTGCAACTGTGCAAATACTGATTTCTGCCATGGAAAAGAGGTTTGTAGTCAAATCAAGAAGAATTGTGCGGGGGAATCCCAAAACTACACGGTTGTAGTCTGCCTCATCAAAAAAATCAGTTTAAATGGGTGTTAATATTCTTGATGATAACCGGCCTTAAAAACGGGGAAACCCTCATTCATTTACAGCTTAAGATGGAGAATAAAGGGGTCAGGTCGTACCCATACAGACTCTGTATACATGCACGTCAATCCACCTCTTGTTTTTAGTGAATATTAGTTTGTGTTACGGCGTTAAAAAGTATATTTTATACTCTTTCTTATATCCACTGCACTAACTAGTACCCTGTTTTCTTTTTGAAGGGCAGCAAAACGAATTGGACTGGCTGATTCAAGTTCTGTCACTATTACCACTTCACATATAAACCAGTAAATGAACCACCCCCCCAAAAACAGGCCACTTTCAGTACTTTCAAATCACCAATCTAAACCAAAGTACCACAGCGGCCGTCCTCCGATGCACCCACTGCTTTTGTTTTGCGAGAAATGCGGGATCCCTCATTCACTTTCCAACTCCCACACGGTATCAAAACATTAGTCAGAGGTAACACATCTGTCAGTCCTGAGGGGTTGCTCTGAAGTCACAAGTGTCGTCTTCTTTCATCTCGCTTTTCTCTTGTAGAAATGTGACATACGTAGGCTCGAGGTTTTTCTCTGTGTGAATTCTGATAAGTGTTGCCGATCAAGTATCTTCTGCAGCTTGCTGACAACAGTTTTGATGGGGGTGTGACAAAAGAACAGAAGCTGGGAGAAACTTTCTGAACATGCTGCTGTCACAGCAATATCTCTGAAGTCATTAAAAATGGGAAAATGATGACATTGTTGGTCATCGCTTCAAATTTCTTAGTCTTGTGTGTTTATTCTGCACGTTGGGAGGAATAGACAATTTTATAAGTATCACAAGATGCTGAGAAAAAAGTGAATTCACTCTAAGAAGACTGTATTGTGCGTAAAGGTGATTGAAATGTTCATTTAAGGGTATCTGGTCTGAGTGGCTCAAATTGCAGACTCCACGTACAGATAAACTGGCAGCCTGGGTTTTGGCTCTAAGCTGCAGTCCTTTGCTGCGTGTCAATCTCCACTCTCCTCCAGTTTCCTGCTCTACCAGCCGAACCGTCCTCTCTGAGTACGACTAAAATACATAAAAAACAAATAATAAAATAAATACGCTTAAAAATGGTCTTAAATTAGGGAGATTATTTGCCACTCAGCACCACATCTCTGCACTCACTGGTTCTTATCGTGAAGCGGCAGCGTCAGACCTCCTCTCCTCTCTCTTTTTTTTATCTACTTTTATTTCTATTGTTTCTAAGCTTGTCTCTTTTTTTCTCCTTAATTTTTTTCAATTCTTTCCTTTCATTCTGTCCTCGCCACTTTTTGCTTCCCTTTCTCATTCATTTCTATTTTCTTCTTTCTTTTTTATCTCCCTTTCTCCTTTCTTTTCCTTTTTTCATTCTTTATCTCTTTTTATCTCTTTCTTTCTGGTCTCTTTATTTTGGTCTTTTTTCCTTCTCTTCCTTTTGTGTGTCTTTCTATTGTCTTTATTTCTATTCTCCCACTTTTTCTTGTCTTTTTTTTGTTTTCCATTCCTCCTCATTTCTCCCTCTTTTTCTCTCGTCTTTATTCCCTGCTATGCATTCTTTATCTCTTTTCTTTCTTTCTTCTTGACTCTCCCGTTTTCTCTTTTTATCTCTTTCTTTTCTCCTTTGCTTCCTTCATCATCCTCTCATTCTTCTTCCTCTTTTTATTCCACCCGGTGTTGAAGCCATTTCCAAGGTCACCATTGGTACTACAAGAAGCTGTGGCGAAGAGTCTATGTCTCTTTTAATTTTGCTATTAAAGAGTCACTGAATCTGGTTTATGCAAACACAACTTCACTAAAAGAGACACTTTCTGAATCCAGTCAAAAGCGAAGATTACTGAAATAAAAGTTTGTTTCTTAAATTGGTGGAAATGGAACCAAATGACACAATTAGCTTTGAAAAAAATACAAAAAACTAACAGATTATTTGGATCATTTTAAAACTTAATATCTAAAATGGAAAAAGGTTAGAAAGATCAGAAAGTATAAAAGTTCACATGGACACTCTGAGGTGTCAGGAGGAGGGGGGGGGGGGGGGGGTGAAAAACGTGGGGGTTTCGGTTTATAAGTGACGGAGCTGCAGCAGAGTTTGGCTCTGAGCCAAGTGTGTCTCAAGCATTTTGGGTCCTCACCTTCCTCTGCCCCTGTCAGCCTGCTCATGGTCTCCCTCTCTAGGCGTCAGAGATGCAAAGTGACAGCCAGGGTGGCTTCCATGTCAGCGAGGTGAGACCAGGCTCTCCGGCTAGATGCCCTGACCAGGACCACCCCTTTGGGTCTGGGTGTGAAAACAGGAAAAAAAAAAAATCCTCACTGCACTGTCTCACCATGATTATATTGTCAGTGCCCCCTCCTAACCTGTAAGATATCTTCACCCCTCCTTCTCCTCCTCCTCCTCCTCCTTCCTTCAGCTTCTCAGAGATCCAGCAGTGGCAGATTAGCATGCTGTCATCAAAGTGGCAGAGTACTAAAACATCCATTAAGCTTTTAATCGAAGAGACGGTAGGACGTGCAGGGGGGAGAGGAGCATGCGATGTCGAGAGCGTCGGTATGACAGAGCTCGTCTTTCAGAGGTGAGAAGTGACAGAGACTTGTCAAAGGTCACAGTCGGCCAGAGGCCAGCCCCACTACGCTGTCAATCCACGCCGCTGCTCTTTTGTGGCACTGCACATGGATGCAAAACGCATGAAAGCACACATGAAATGCACTCATGCCTTTTTTTTTTTTTTATCCCACCTATTTACACCACACCTTGTATTTACACCTCACCATGCATGTATTAATAGAGCCCTCTGAAGCTTTTGTTGATAAAGTAAGCTTAGCCTACTTGTACTCATAGACTCTTAAAAAAAACAGTGAATCTTGGATTCATCTGGCCAGTCAGACTTCTTTTGTCTCCTCATTTGAAGGCTCACACCTCCAGCGCGCTTTGTTACAGCACTGTCTCAGAAAAACAAGGTCTCTCAGCTGTTTAGAAAACAGATAACTACAGATGGGCTAGTGTGTGTTCAAGTAGTTTGTGTGTGTGAGTTTGAGTTGGCACGCTCCCAAAATTGATCTTTGAAGACATCAAGGTCCTTTTTAATGAATGTTTCTTGCACAGATTAATGTAAACTGTGACTTTTTGTTCATTTTTAGCCACAGTAGTTATTATTATTGTGCTGCAGCCGATGGCAATTCCAGTCTGTTGATCCTCTTGTCCAGCATTGAAGCCCAAGCTTAAGATTTCTACACAACTGCTTGATGAAATGGCATGAAATGTGACCCCCAAATATTCTGAATCCCCAAAATGAGGACACTACCACGTGGGGGCGGAGTCATTGAGTCTTGCGTGGTTAATTTAGTTTTTCAGGTTTGGTCGAGAGTTTTTTTACACACTTCTAACTCAATAAATGAAATTAAAAAAAAAACAAAGGCCGGACAAGGATGGACATCCCCTAAAAAAGAGGACATGTACGGGTAAAAGAGGACATATGGTCACCCTGCTTTAAGGGATATTCTGGTGTAAAATTAATTTAGGGTCATAAAACACGTTTGATGATGTTTGATGATGTTTGCATGTGGAGACCAGAGCAGTAGATTAAAACAGAGTGGCGACAACTTCAGATCTCGCCGCCGGAGCGGTCACGTGGTTCATGTACCCCTCCATAGTTCCAAAGCAGCCTGCACTGTCCATGCTCTTCAACGGGGCAGACTGCAGTGAGCGCGCATTTAAGAGGTAAATATTAAAATTAACCGTCAAAAGTCAACATTTGCAACTCTTATTGGATTACTGTGTACACGTCAAAGTCACGTACGTATATTTAGCGGCTGGATGACAAATAAAAGTGAAATAAGACAAGTTTGGTAACACGTGTTACTTTTTAATAAGAGAAAATAATAGAATAAAGTGGTAAGTCACAGGTGCTACAAGCTGTTGAAACAATTGTACAATGTTTTGGTCTTGCAGCATGGCCTGCATAACATTTTTTCATGTTAAACATACGCCTTAAATGCTGACAGGATTTAAAAAGTAGCGGCCCCTTTACTCTATCATCCCATAAGCAGAAATCAAATTACATAGCATTTATGTTAGTCTAAAAAGAATAAATTGCACATAACATCGGGAACTGATAAAGGCTGAAATCTAAAATAAAGCCCATAAGTAACCATCTCAACATATGATTGATGATGATGATTCATCTGTGATTCATAACTCAGTCACACAATACATTTTGGCAGACCTCTACAGCTGACGACGTCCAGCTAGCAGGCCGTGGCTAAAAAATCGATCCCAATTCCTAACTAAGAAAAGGGAATTACATTTGTAATTACAATTTGAGCATACTAAAATTAAAATCATTTTACATGTAAAGGGGTCCCTCGATACCATTTACACACGTATTGGCATTAAATTCGTTGATACAATATTTTAACTCGGGGAGTGTGGGAGCAAACCGTGGCTAAAAAATCGATCCCAATTCCTGACTAAAACAACGTAATTACATTTGGGATATACATTTTTACATATATAGGGATCCCCTCAATATCAATTACACATGTATTGGCATTAAACTTGTTGATATTTTATCATTTAACCTCGGTGAGTGCTTGCCTTGTGGCCATAGAAGCGAACGGCGTCCGGCGTGACAGGCGGTCATGTTGGAACTATAACGAGTTCCATAACCCGGAAGTGGGGTCCGCCGGGCTGTACAGCGTATGTCTATGGGAGTGTCGCCACTCTGTTTTAATCCATTGCTCTGGTGGAGACGTAGACCGCGTTGTTTCGCTATCCTGCTGTTGTTACTAAAGTTGGTATAACTAGAGAAGCGGTCAGCAGCATTCATCTCTCAAGGGGGTGTCTAACCCGGTGTTACTGTGTGTTTGACCCTAAATTAATTTTACACCGGAATATCCCTTTAAATAATATGATGATGGGCAGTTAGGTTCATTGATTTAGGGTCAAAATTTCAGAATAACCCTTTAAATTTCATCAGTACTTGGAGTAAATAGACAATAAAGAGGTAAACATGACGCTGAAAAATAAAGCCAGTGCAGGAGGTCAAAAACTGCAATTCCTCAAATGTCCACTTGATACTTGTTGCAAAAGCTTTAATACCCCCACTGGTTCCATGTGAAAAAGCATGCTTTTTCAAATTTCAAAATAAAAGCATGTGTTTATCTTGAGCTTATTGACATCCTGATGCTGCCTGTCCTGTTTGAAGTGACATTCGTACACACTCAGGACTCACATTAACTCACACACTGCCCTTCAGAGTTTTGACCTCCCTGCTGCGAGGCAGTAATGTCAGTGTTTGTGTTGGTCAGCAGGGTCTGTCCACACAGTCAGCGGGGTCAGCGGCCCCACAGCAGGACCTGGACACTGGGAGAAACACAGGGAGGGGGCAGAAGAGGGCACTAGCTCAGGTTCTGAGGGGTCCACTCATCTTCAACTCCCAGCCAAGGCCTCAGATGCCAAGCCAGTCTGTCGGGCCCCCCTCTCGCCACAGTTCTGGCCTCGACACCCTGCAGTTATGGAGGCATAAACTGGCATAGGGCAGCATAAGCTTCCTCGTGGCACTGCATATTTTAACTGGACCATTGGGCAGCTTGGCCTGCAAGAGGCCCAGGTCCTGGGCATGAGTCCACAGGGCACGGGCAAGGACAAGAGAGACTCTGCCAGGGACGAGGTAGATCTCTGCTCTTGTTTACATTTCTTTTTTTCCCTTAATTTTGTGCTGACTTTGAGCGTAAAGCAGTTATCTTCTCAATAGCATTGGATGGATCCCTCTGCCAACATCAGTGTCTCACACTTTCAGAGGCTTATGTATGTATGTGTAAAATTCTTCAGATGCTAGCAAGTCAGGTTTTTACAAGTAGAGGAGGTGCCAGTGAGTCATAGAAATGTGTCTAGAATGATGGCTGTAGCATCTTATGTTTAGTGTATATATATATTTTATTAGTAACTGCTATAATTACTTAAAAAAACAGGCCAGAGAACTAAATACTTGATATTTTTGTGGTTAAAATTAAGGATAAATGTTAATAATCTAAAATCCCAGTTTAATATCACACATTTTCATGAAAATATTCAGGATGCTGGGTTTTTATTTTCCATTTTGTTCCAAAGTTTGTTGGTAAATTGTAAAAAACAGCTCTGCTCCGTCAGGAAAGAAAGAGTTAAGCAGCACATTGATGGGTTTTAAAACAGCAGTCCAAAAAGCTGCCTTTAAACATGAACAAGTCTTTTTCCTTCACACCTCAACTTCACAAGTGTGACTTCCGTCTGTTGCGTCTCACTCTCTCTCTCTCTCTCTCAACATTTTTCTCCCTCCTCTCTGTCTCTATTTCTCTTTCCTTTAATATTCTTTGCTTGTAAATTCTAAGATCTACACTTGCTGAAAAATCGACGGACCTATTCACAAGTAATGTTAGGTTCATACTAGTTTGGTCCTAGTTAAGTCTGCGTGTTGCTATTTTGTTAGTGGAAAATGAAGCACAGTTTTCACACCACTGAGTAGCTTCTACTTGCACTACAGCTGACCTGACCCTTGTACTACTTGACCTTACAAAACTCACACTATGTTCACTTTTAAACACAATTTTTTATGTATTTCTATCGACTGACACTCCAAACTTTAATTTCCTGCAAAAGCAAACAAAAATGATCAGTATAAAGTTCGTCTATTTATCTAGAGCAATTTTTAACGTCTAAAAACTGTCGTCAAAGGGTCGGTGTCAAACTAAGTGGTAAAAGACAGAAGGATGATACTTTGACAAAGATAGACTGAACTGAAGTTTTTTGGACCCTCAGCAATGCTACAACTTTAGGGTGACCATATTCCGACTTCCCAAAAAGAAGGACACGACTACGCGGGGGCGGAGTCATGGAGCACAAAGTTAATTTTGAGAGTTTTTCGGGTCTGGTTGAGTGTGTTTTACGTGCTTGTGACACAAACTCGAAACTTCCGTACAAAACTGCGGACATTTAAAAGGATTTCAGAAACTTCCCTGGACAAAGCCGGACAGCCCCCCAAAAAAGAGGACATGTCCGGGTAAAAGATGACGTATGGTCACCTTACCCACCTCCCCTGTGTGAAACCCCTGTGTCTCCCTCTTGCCATCTCTTTCTGTAAAGTTTCATTCGACCTCTACCTAAAAGGTTCCTATTCAAGGACTCGGTGTATCCGCTGTGCTCTAAAGCGCCATCACCGCAGCTCTTCATCCTCTAATCATCAGGCTGTCATCTGTCGCGCATTAGACTCGAATTTTATTGGATGGCAAGCACAGGTGTTTGAATCATTTGAATCATTTCGTGAGCAGATGTTAAACAACCAAAAAAGAAAGGTGTCACTGACAACACTTAGACTGTGTGATCAGCTCTGTTGTAACAGAATACTCTGTGTCAGGTGAAAGAATAGTCTCTGTCTTCTTGCTGTAGTCCAAATATGTCTGACTAGTCAGGTGTGCGGTGAATAAACCGTCTCAGTCATGAACAATTTTTGAATATTTTTAGCAAAACATGAACAATACGTATATTTTTGTTCTATTTTTTCTGTGCTTCTGCCAACAGGACACATGTAAACATCCTAAGCAGACGGTGTTTTCAAGTTTATCTCCGTTTCATCGACCATCTCCTCCAAACTTGAACTCTCACTCCCTTCCCCCCTCGCCCCCTGCATCCAAACCCCTGTAGCCCCTCACCCCTTTATTTCTACCTCCTCCTTCTCCACGCTCCCTTCCCTTCCCTGAGGGCGATGTGGTATTTCTTCCCTCCGCCGGTCCCCCCTCCCCGGCACGGCGCTGTCACTCTGGATGGTTCCTAGCACACTGTGCCCCGCTGTGATTGAGCATTACGAGGTGTTTCACGCCTCCGTGCATTAGGCGAGACGACAGGGAGGGCGTTGGGTAAACGATACGTATGGATCGTAAGGGCAGCAGAGTTCACTAGTGGGTCAGGTCAGAGGGAGAAAGGCGATGGTCCCAAATCCTGTGACAATCCATGCATATGTAAGATGCGTATACACACCTAATTGCAACCACCTGCGCTTCTTATACACAATCTTATATACTTGTATTTACATGCGCAGGTACACACACCCACATTTGTGCACACACTCATGCACAGAGAGTGTCATTACAGGTGGATTGATGGGAAACTCACTGACATTTTCCTTAACTGCACAGCGCCGGTGTTTATAGAGTTAATCACAAATGGCAAATGCAACCAGATTGTACTCTCCTTCCTGCCCACTCACCATCACAAGGTCCACTCAAGTTGATGCAACTCATTTTCACATTTTTAAATAGAGACTGCTCACTTCCCTTTGTTACCATTATCACTGCATGTCCTGAATAAAATATCAAGGAAAAACAGAGAATAGGCGCAGTTTAAATTGTTGATTTTTCAACAACAACACACACACGCCTCGCTCCATCCTTAATCCTCCTCCATGCATGAACAGGCGAGGCTTGTTTGAGCTGGTGAGAGTGTGTAATTAATGTGCTGTGACGAGGGGCTTCTGCCCGGTGACAGTGAAAGACCACCTACTGGCTTTTAATACTGCCTGTCAATGTGGCCACAGGATGCTCAATACAGGCCTGTTTCAGCTCAGGGGGCTGAATGGGGGGACAGCTATTTGGAGAGACAGGCACCAGAAAAAGGAAAACATGAATCAACTACAAGAGTGTGTGAGATTCAAGCAGGGTAACTATCAAGAAAATAAAGCACACTTAAAACAATTTAGTTGATTTTACATTCCTATTACTGAAAAAGTTTTACTAAAAAGTTTGGCCTAAAACGCTAAACACAGATTTGATTTCTACGGTGGCCGAGAACTGCCACTGCTCCAAATAAAAAAGAATGGAAAAAAAAAAAAAAAACAAAACTGCACTGATGCAAATAGAAAAAAAAGGGAGAACGCCACTGATGCAAATAAAAAAAATGCAAAAAAAAAAAAAAAAAGAAAAGAAACGGTGCAGATAAAAAAAAAAAAAAAAAAAAAAAAGTGGCCATGGAAAAAAGCTACTTACTGCCGAAATAAAACTATGCAAATAAAAAAGCCACAACGAAAGTGAGCTACCGGGGACCATTAATGATGATGCACCGGTGTTTTACAATCTATGCACAGAAGACGACGGTGAGAAGACGAGGAAGTCAGAAGAAGTAAGTTAGAAGTGTATTGTTTAATTTCACTTTAGTGTGCTTTTCAATGTGTCATTAGGTTAGGCCATATTGCGCCTGAGTCGATATGAAGTTGAACTGAAGTTGAGGATGTTAGCTTTTCTTTTTTTGCATCAGTAACTTCCGTTGTGACTTCTTTTTCTTGCATTCGGTGGCGGTTCTCACCCACTGCAGATTTCATCAGAAGAACCATCAGCTTAAGACTTAAAGTTTAAGTAGTTCTTAAAATATTGTCTGACTTCTCCTTTTCTTCCCCGGAAAGCGCACGATAGCGCGATGATAATGTATGCTTGACCCTTTCTAACCCTTCCTCTCGGTTACCAGTGATAGCACTGATATATGACCCACTAAACACATATGCATTTTTGCACATAAATGCACAGCGTCACACACGGTGAATCCTTAAGATGTGTCCGCATAATGACATGTCATTCACACTTACTGTGGATCATACAGGACGGGGTCACGAGACTGTACGCGATGTGCTAACAACCGTTTGACCTGATTTACAGTAAGTGTCAAGCAGATGGTTTTATGAATTTCTATAGACTCAGAAGTTATCATTACCGGTATTTAAAGATGTGACATTTTTATATATAAAAACACAGAATTTATAAAATGCACTGGAAAGGACACAGATGCCGTGTGCAGAGTGTCGCTGCGCCTGCTGTGCCCTCTCATCGACATGCTCCTCATCATCTCTACATTTGTTTTTATGTCTCTACATACATCTAACATGACTATTTCAGCCTGAGTAGGCAAACATGTGAGCAGGTTACACTCCACCTGTGCTGTATCAGACACACACAGTACCAGCACAGACACTGGAGTTAAGTATTGGTACTTGTATCAAGGCGCCTAGTTCTGCTGTAGGGAGAAATAATTCCCCGCTTCATGTCTGCTCCGTCTCCTTCGTCTGTTCTGGGAGTGAGTGTATGTGCTGCGACACGGCTCTCTAGATCAATATGGCCTTTCAGGAGCTCTTGCCTGTCAGTCTGCCTGATGGCTTGTCACAGTCTCAGGAGTGTCTGGGAGATTTTAAGTCTCTGGTTGTCACTGCTGAATTCTCTTTCCCTCTCTCGTCTGCACGCTCTCTTTGCTTTCCTCTTTCCATCTCTGCTCCTTCTGTTCTTTTTTTTTTCTCCTCCTCTTTCTCTCTGTCCCTCTCTTCTCCCCGGCCGCCCGCAACCCCGGGGCTCGACAAGCTGGCCCGGCCGCCGCATCTGCCAGCACATCTTTAGCGGCTTGGCAGTGAGGAGCGTCCGTCACAGGTTGTAATCAAACCTGCCTGGAAACTGAGCAGGAGGAGAGAGGAGGAGGAAGGGGAGGTGGAGGGAGTGCAAGTGAGGGGGAGGGCCCCTCCTTCTGCCTG